ACAGGGTCGCTATGGGTCGGAACCGACTCAACGGCACTTAACAACAAACACCTTACCTTGTTCATTCTTACAGTAACAACCCTGTAAATGAGGGGACTGGGCCTCATTTACTGATCAAAGATCACAAATCTGAGTTCACCTTAGATTTGAATCCAGGACCTCTGACTACTGAAATCAGTGTTCAGCCAATGAAAATTATGTACTTCATTTCATTTATTTAACAAATATTTATTGGTATAATAGAACAAGTAACCATGCCTTCAGCATCTGTGGTAATATTTTAGAGATCTCTTCATGTCTCCATATACTTAAAGCAAGAATTGAATAAAGTTATTTTCATAAATAGCATGGGTATAGGTGTGAGGCTGTAGGACAAACACTTGACCACAAGGTAGGTTTGAACTGCAAAGTTGGCAGTTCAAATTCACCAGTAGCTCCTCGGATCACTATGGGTCGCAACCGACTCAATGGCACTTAACAACAGCAAGGCTTAATTTTTATACAGTTACTAATAAGCAGTAAAGTTTCAAGCTAACTCTGCTTATACTTTGCAAAACTTTACTGGAATTGATTGGATTGCTGTTGTGTATTTCAGAAGTTATTGTAAATTTTTCCAAATTATCTTTTTTAATTTAAGTATGGTGGTGGTGGTTATGTCCCGTGGAGTCGGTTCCAACTCATAGTGACCCTGTACAGGGTTTCTGAGGCTTTAAATCTTTATGAGAGCAGAAAGCCTCATCTTTCTCCCGTGGAGCAGCTAGTAGTTTCGAACTGCTGACCCTGAGGTTTGCAGCCCGATTTGTAACAACTACACTACCAGAGCTCCTTTAAGTATACTACTTAAAAATAAGCATACCACATAAAATGTACTCTTTTTAAACTAGCCCAAAAAAGCACATATTCATCAGTACAGTTAAATATCAGGATCATTATTTGAGCTTAGTCTTTTTACATTCAAAGACTAAAGAATCTTAATTGCTTTTCACAAATAACAAAATATCTTGTAACTTTTTATCGTGTGCGTTATACTTTATCACTCTGCAGAGCAGTGTAGTGCTTGAGCTTGAATGTAGAGCCAGACTCCATAGTATACTGTCCCAGCTCTGCTTGTGATGAGCTGTGTAATCTCAGGCAAGTTATTTAACCTCTCTGTGCCTTGGTTCTCATTTGTAAAGGGAATAATGTACCTACCTCATAGGGTTCCTGTAGAGTAGAAAGAGCACTGCTTTGCACATCCCAAGTATTCAATATGTGTCATTATTATCATTGCCTTGATTTGTTTAAAAACTTTAAGCATGCCAATAAAGGCTAGGTTCTTACCTGGGTTTCCTAGTTAAGAAAAACAACAAACAAACTCATAGAGCTCCACTTTGAATAGATTATTCTTAGAAGTTAAAAAACTTCTGGCAGCTGAAAACTTTTGACAGATGTTTGGTTCTGAGTGATGAGCCATCAAATAGCCTAAAGAGTTAACTAACACTACTCTTTTTCTAAATAGGAGCTCTGGTAGCGTAGTGGTTATGAATTGGGCTGCTAACCTCAAGGTCAGCAGTTCGAAACTACCAGCTGTTCCGTGGGAGAAAGATGAGGCTTTCTGCTCCCATAAAAATTTGCAGCCTCGAAAACCTTGTTACAGGGTCGCTATGAGTCGGGACTATACACATGGACCTTGCCATATGAAACACATAGAAATCAAATTGACTACATCTGTGCAAAGAGAAGATGGAAAAGCTCCATATCATCAGTGAAGACAAGGCCAGGGGCAGACTGTGGAACAGACCATCAATTACTGATATGCAAATTCAAACTGAAGCTGAAGAAAATGAAAGCAAGTCCACGAGAACCAAAATATGACCTTGAATTGATCCCACCTGAATTTAGAGATCATCTGAAGAACAGATTTGATACATTAAACACTAAAGACCGAAGACCAGAGGAGTTGTGGGATGATATCAAGAATATCATATGTGAAGAGAGCAAAAAGTCATTAAGAAGACAAGAAGGAAGGAAAAGGTCAAAATGGATGTCAGAAGCAACTCTGAAACTTGCTTTCCAGTGTAGAGATGCTAAAGCAAGTGGAAGAATTGAAGAGGTCCAAGAGCTGAACAGAAAATTTCAAAGATCAACTCGAGAAGATAAAACCAAATACTATAATAAAATATGCAAAAATTTAGAATTAGAAAACCAAAAAGGAAGAACACGGTCAGCATTTCTCAAGCTGGGAGAACTGAAGACAAAATTCAAGCCTCGACTTTCGTTATTGAAAGATTCTCTGGACAAATTATTGAATGATGCAGAAAGCATCAAGAGAAGATGGAAGGAGTACACAGAGTCATTGTACCAAAAAGAAATGGTTAATGGTC